AAGGCGCCGGGCAGCGGGTGGTGGCTGCTGTTGATCAGCGCCTCCACCGCGTCCTCGGGGCTGAAGCCCAGCGCCTCCGGGTTGAGCTGCTGCGGGTAGCCCGTCATCCAGTAGTAGTCTTCCAGGTGGGTCTTCTGGTCGGTGCCGGAGCCGGGGCTGGGCGCCGAGAAGCTGGGGGACGGGGGCACCGAGCTGCAGGGCGTGCTCATCGGGGTGGAAGAGAGCGATCCCCCGGCGATCAAGCGGCCGCACTGGCTGATAATGCGATCGGTCTCCACCGGCTCCTTTTTCACTTCAAACTTCATCAGATCGAAGTCATTAACATATTCCATGGCCAGGGGACTGGTGGGCAGGTCGGAGCTGCTCATTGCCAGTTCTGATGCCATCCTTTTGCTGCTGACAGTCCTCCAGAAAGGGTGCGCTCCGGGAGCGAGGGGACTGCTCTGAGTTGCCACCGGGTGAGCCAGCTTGATTTTTGGCGAGCTCTGCTCCGCTCTCTCCTGCCTCTGCCTCTCGCCACGGCCCCTCGCAGCCTCCGCTCCAATTCGCCCCGGCGGCTCTCGCTCCCGCTCCGCGTTATCCTTTGCAGAGTCTCCGCTGCCGCTGATGCATCAGAGCGAGGGGCTCTTGCTATTCGCCTTTTGCATAAAGGGTTTTTTTTTTTTCCTCCTCTCTCCCTCCCTTCTCTCTCTCCTCTCTCTCTCTTTTGCAGCTTGCAAACTGCAGCTGGAAGTGTTAGCTGGTGGTGGTGCGAGTAAATTTGTTGTTGTTGTTGTTGTTGTTGTTGTTGTTTTGTTTTCTTATTTTTAACACTTCATGGTGCCTTTCCTCCGGGCTTTCTCCTGCAAAGTGCAGAGCGAGAAGAGAGGTTCATCGGGGAAGGGAGGAGGGAAAAGAGAGCGAAGACAAAAAAAAATCAAAGTCGATATCGCAACCAAAATAATAATAATAATAATAGTTAAAAAAAAAAGAGAGAGAGGGGAAAAAACCTCGACCCCAAAGCTACAGCAAGAAGATGAAAAATATTTTAAAGGTTTCATCCAGCAGGAGAGTTTAAAAGCATTGCTGAGTTTTATAGCGCTCCTGACGTCAAATGGGAAATTGACTCGGCGGCCGGACCAATGGGCTGCCGCCATCCCAGCCCGCATTAGCATAATAGTATAGAAACAAGGAAACTTTTCGGAGCTGTCAATCAGGGCCCCATCAGCTGACTGTCAGCTGGGGAGCGCCTTAACCCCTTCCTGCCCGCCGCCTCCC